GGACGCAGCCAGGCCAAAACCCAGGAGTTCCATTCAACTCATTGGAAGTGAGGCACAAAGAAGTTCCAAGATTTGCACAAAGTCAGACACTCTGTTGGGGTTAAAGCCCAGGTGACCTGATCCCCAGGCCTGTGTTGAATCAGCCTAGAAGACTGTGTTGACTTTAACACAGATTTTGAGTCTTCAGGACTTTTTTTTTGCCTGTACCCAAGCACAGAATAGATTATGAGTATTCCAGGTACTTATGAGGTTCTGACTCTCAAACAGGACTTTGTTACAGGCCACGTGCTTAACAAGCTTTTGTCAGAGTAATTTTCAAACTGCCATTGCAGACTTAAATAAAACCATGATAAGCTTCCAGTGTTATTGTATAATCCAATTATGATGTGAATAGGGAAGGTTTTCTCTCAAAAATATACACATAATTTTTCTGAACAGTGTCCTCTTCCTAGAGCCTTTCAGCAAAGCAGAGTACTGGTTCCATTAAAGAGTTTCAGGAAAGCCACTCAATTCAAATCTTCTCAGTAAAGGTACAGATAAACATACCCTTACTGAAAAAGGGGAATCAAAAATGTATAGGCAGTTAAATAAAATACAACATACAAAATAAGTTTTAATGCATTTTCATCCAATATACAGGCATTTGTGAGTATCAGCTACTGAGCTATAGTTCACAGCAAAACACCAAAGCATTGAGATAGTTGTGCAAATTCTTTTCTTAGTTCCTTGGCGAGCAACAGAAAGAACTGAAGAGTATCTACAAAATTAATTTCAAAGACTTACAGAGCAGAACCCTGGAAGGTACTTTTTGTACACGAGGAACAACAGGAACCTGATTTCATTAAGTAGCACATACAACAGAAGCCTGCACCTACAGTTAGATTAACTCTATTGCAAGATTTATGTGTATAAAACTACTTTATTCTAGTAATCAAAATGAGGCCTTTTGAGAAATCTGAGTCATCAGCCCACAATTCTAATAAAGGTGACTGCTGTGCTGTCCTTAATTGCCAAGCAAAGATATCTGATTGGTGAGCACAGGCTTCTGTAAAAGCAGGGAAAAAAATCTCAGAAATTATGTTTTAGGAGAGCAATGGGATAGTGTGGGGCAAATAGTTAGAATGCCACAGGATCAAACCCAAAATCTTCCCTCTGACACCTGCAATACATTAGGAGAAACCTTCTCTGCCCAGAACACCAGGCAGCCCCATGTCTTGTCCTACCACAATATACAAAACAGAATAATCTGATATTGGTCTAGACTCATCATCCCTTCAGGGCAAAAACCTGCTCTTCCCATCCTTGTTTTATCCTTATGAGAAATCACAAATTAATCAATAATAAAATTTGTAAAAAGCTATGACACAAGAACTGGGAACGATTTTCCATAGTAAGGACTTGATTGATTTTCTGATTTTTTTAAAGGGCATCACCCAGGCAGGGGTAAGATTTTAATAGCAGAAAAGTAGGTCTAATGCCCAATACTTTTAGAGAGCTCACTGGGGTCTCTGCTTGTTTAAAGCCCCTCCTTTGCTCATCACAAGGGAGCAAAACTTCAGAAAGTTTGAATTGATGGCGTTGGTTCCCCACGACTGATAAAACTCTGTGGTGTCATTTGACTCCACAATGATATTTTTCAATTGTGCAGCCACCAGATTTTATTACAGAGCCCTTTTCACTCCAGCTCCTTCAGTGCTAGGACCTCATGAGGACAGCCAGTTGGGAACTCCAGCACTATTGTAAGGCAACTTGAATAGCAAGAGATTTGCCCAGTAATTATTACAAAACCATTCTCAGTGATTTCTTAACAGCAGAATTTATAGCAAGAGCCTATGACATTACTGATTTATGTGCCATATATTATCCTACAAAAGGAACAGAGCGATGCCTAGCTTCTACAAAATAAACTATTTCAGGCCACCAACACAATTCAGCTCACAAAATCACTTCCAACCTTTTGAAAAAAAAAAAACAAAAACCAAAAAAGGAAAAATAAGGCAGCACTACAAAGGGAATCTAACAGCCTGCCTCCAGGCTTGTGGACAGCTCTGCTCATTGATTTGCAACCAATGCTTTGGAAACTGAATGTTTACTGAGAAAAATTCTGATTATATTTTAGGCAAGCTTTTTTATCTGCTACCTTTTAATGTGTTAATTTACTCTACTGAAAAGCCAAAGGGCCAAATTCACCCCTCTGATAAGGCTTCTATTGTAGGAGCATCACTGAATGTGCACCAAAGGCATTATTCATCTGTGGAGAGATCACTGAGCAATATTGTCAAACACTTTTGAGCTGCACATCCTTGAAGAGCAGATAAAGGAATTGTAAAGAGAATGAGAAGAAACAGAACATCAGAGATGAAGAAAATTAGATAAAGGGCCAGGAAGAAACTGTTTGATGTAAACAGAGTGACAAGTTAGATTAAGAACTCTCATTAAAGCATTCAGTATTTGCCCATAAGCAATTCAGGCAAGGAATTTGTTTACAACTCTGCCAAAATCAACAGCAGATGCAAAAAATCATCAATATTGGGATTTTAAATAACATTAAATCTACCATATCCAAACATTCACTAAGACTGTGTGAAGGAAATACACAGCTTGGGGCCATTCTATTCTTTGTCTCACTGAATAAACAAGGTTGTGCCCTGCTGCACACTGAATGCAGGCCCAGCAGAAGTTACTAACAGGAGTGTACCACTAATTACTCCTTGGTTACTTCAGTGTGCACGTGTCTCTGAAAATACTTACTAGTACCAAGGTTTTACTACTGATGGGGAAGAAAATGTGACTTCGTAAGTAAAATGTAATTTCAGGTATGACAGAACTTGGTTTGGCTTTTCCAAATTAGGAGGACAAAATTTAGAGAGGTGCTGGAAAGCTTGTGGCATCACCTTGCATGTGACCTTTACCAGAAAATATCCAGCAAAAATTATCCATCAGAAATTATACAGATCCAAAATTAATCGCTGAAACTGCTTCCAGAGCAGATGGTGAAGGGCAAGTGAATCAAACCCAGCACCATGCTCAACAACAGTGAGGAATTAGGGTTTTGGCAAAGGGCATTAGGAGCAAATCCTGTTCTAACTGAACCAGATTTAATGAGAGTCCCTCATTCCTAGTCCCAGGTTAACATCCCCCTCTAGTGACCTCAATTTATTGTGGGGAGTTTTTCCCTCAGCAGCTCCTTGGCTGATGGCCCTGTACGATTCTGTTAAGATGATGGGAATTTGAGTCACCACTTTCCTCCTGGCACGGTTACAGGTTAAAAAAAAAATACCTGGCTGGGAAGAACAGGCAGTGAGAGTGAAGTTACACAATGTGCTGGCAGCAGAATTGTCCCAAGAAGCTGAACTTGCAGCCTTTCCCCAGCCCCTCATTCTCACCCTTGTGCAGGAGTTCACTGCACATGAGTCTCCTTTGGTGCCAATTCCCTGGGGGGTCATGATGTGAGTCAGCCCATTGTTATGAACTGGGTTAAAAATAACCCTTCCTAAAGCAGCTCCCCCTCTAAAGCCAGCAGACTGTGCATTTGCACCACGAGACACTCAGTTCCTTTGACACAGTCTTGTGCACGGACAGAGGCAGAAAACTGTGTCAGGTGCCACTTTCTCAGGCTCTAAAGTAAGCGTGTGACTGGCAAGGCACAGAATTCAAGCCATGCAGATTCAGCCATTCCCATGCTGCAGAGTTCTTCAAATCCACATCAAACCTAAATAACAGCACTGGGAATTCCTGACTGGTTTTGCAGTAGCCCAAACAAAAAAATTCTGGAGGTCGCTGGAGCTAGTTTTTAAAGGCTGAGATGAGGTAAGCAAAGGCCTAAGGGCCTTCTCTGTTAAATCCAAAGTGAGATGACAGATGGGGATGTGAAACTGTGGGAAACCACCAGCTACAGAGAAAAACAAAGCTCTCATGTGCAAAGCCAAAGAATCACCCTGCAGCTCATGACTCAGCACTTCCATCATTCATGGAGGGAACTGATGCTCGTTTCTCTCAAACAAAAGTTGTCTTTCCATTTTATATCATTGCATGGAAAGGCTCCTTGCAAAAAAAAAAAAAAAAGTTGGGGGGGGGGGGGGGGGGAGAAAAAAAGACAGAGCTTCCTGTTAATTAAAAGAGAATATTTGACATGCTGAGTCTATCAACAAAACACTGTTTAAAGCCAGCAGACTTTCTTCCCATAGATTGTTTAAAAGATTTAAAAAATGCTGGTAATTATTTATTTTCCTCTCTTATCTGAAATTCCTTTGTCTGTATACTGGGAAGGAGAGCTGAAGGCAAAGGTGAAGAGAGCATATTTCTTTTGTTAGTTGAAATGATACAGTCCAAATGGCACAACCTTAAGGAGAGCTTTATGTCCTGTCCCCTACAGTCAAAAAGGGCCTGTCAACTATGAGACAATCAGACTTGGTCTCATTTTTACATTACATAACCTCTGCTTGTGCAGTGCAAGAGTTTATAAGAAATAAAAAGGAGGGCCTGAATACACGCAGTATAAAGCACAGCTACTACTTCACTCACATTTCCACACCCTTCTAGTAAACATATAAATTCTATTACTCTGAGTGCCATTCTGGACAGCATTGCACAGAAAATGGCAGCAAGACCATTATTTTTAAAGATATGTGACCATTATTTTTACAATGTGCTTTCGAGTTGTAGCTCCTGGCTTTTGAAATGTTCAGGAGAGAAGATAACCATGGCTTGTTATTTGCTTGTGTTTTGTTTTGAAATGGTATTTGTTTGTATATTCCAGATAGATCAGAAAAATGGAGACGCAAAATCTGCGCTATTTTAAGCTATTCTGTGTCCTGCCAGTGTCTCATTTGTATGCAGCATACACTAGATTTGCCTAGAAGGATTTAGCTCAGTAGCTGGCACGTTTACATCAGAGAACAACATACACAGTTTCAATCGATTTCAAGCATTCTTACAATGGGAAATAAATATGAAAAGTGGTTGTTGCTCAAAGTTCAAAAAATGCGATCAACAAATTGTAAAAGCTCAAAAGGTCAGACAAATTTAATAAAATACTTCCATTTACCTTCCTCAGCTTTACACAGCCTGTTCAAAATAATAAGACTCTCTGCAGAGTGCCTTTATCCAATTGTTTATATCACTTCATACAAAATATGTGTTTGAATTACCACAGCAATACAAGGATATAAATTCCCAGCCCATGAAATGCCAAATTCAACATAAGTTATGCTTTCTTGGCATTGAGATGTTTTCCTTTTCCCTTTCTGTACTGCAAATACACTTCCATTTGAAACAAATTAAAAAGCATGTAGATGTTAAAACATAATGACAGCTTAGAATTCAAGTGACTTGTGCAACATTATTTTGTGCTTTCCACTTCTCCATTTCCTCCTACTGCAATTAAAATTCATCATGCCCTACTACATGTACAATAGCAATGCATCAAGTTCAGTCCAGTAGAGGTTTTCAACCTTCAGACCCGGCTTTATACTACATGAGATCCTTGCACAATCCAAAAAAAAAAAAAAGTGCATCTTTTTTCCTCATCTTTCTCTTATGCTGGATGATGTGAAGCTCTGATTAGTTGATGCAGGAATGCAACCTTGAGGTACAATTGCAGCCTCGGAATGATTCTTAAATGTAAAAAGAAAATTTTGGAGCGCTCACGCCCTTTCTGGATTTTTAAAAAAGACACCACTGTCATGGTGCTACTGGAGCCACGGTACAGTACATCATGGCACACATCCATAACACAACCAGGGACTGAGAGACAGCTCCTATTTACAAAAACTCGATGTCACTTCCAGAAAAATATGACAGAAAAAAAAAAAAGGAAAATATCATTTCCTGAATGTCCTGAATTTTTAGAAGATTCCTTTTACTTTCTCTTCAGCCACAGAGTGGTCCTCCACAACTGTATTTTTCCCTGACCTTTTTAGTATGGACCATAAGCGACACCAGCAGAAATTGGGAATCATATGGCAAACTGCTTCCTTCGAGAGGATGCTCACCCACGCCCCTTTACTCACAAGCCAGCTTGCTGTCAAAACTGGAAAGGGCAATGGAAAAGGCTTGTAGTGCACACATTGGGTAGTTGTAGTCCATGGTGAACACGTCCTCAGCCACGCGGCCAAACTGCATCACGATGTAGTCAGCTGCCAGAAAGGTCAGGAAAGGCAAAAAGCATTACTGGTGTTTGCAGCCCTCACTAAATAAGCAGGCATCCAACCCTACCCTCTGTCCCAGAGCAACGAAACACCACCCAAACATGCTCACTCATCAAACTTCACAGCACTTATTCATGCAAGTGGGCGTGCTGATAGCAGAGCGAGAGGCAAGGACAGCTTGAGTGATAAAGGGTTGCAAGACTTGTTAGCGTCAAAAAAAAGACGCATATAAAAAGTGCTTTTTTTGCAAGAACAGGGAGACGATGGCTTCTGTATAGACTGTTGAAGCCTCTGATACAGATCTCAATCAAACCTGCTCAGGTGACAGCTGTGAGGGCAGAATCCCTCCCAGACTGTGCACACAGCGCTGTTCCTACCTCACAGGCAGAGAGCTCTACTTACGATCATTATCATGGATAATTTGGAAGTTCTTCACCGAGGCCTGGGTGACTCGACCGTGGAAATTCAGAACATAGGACTGGGTGTCATCATTCCAGACTGGGGTTTTGTTGTGCAGCTCAATGACACTCTCTGTGTTTTTGTTCTGCCACCTTGCAAGAAGCGTCTCGTGTTCCTGCGCACACCACAGATACACGCTTCAGTTTAACACGCTCACGTGACAAAAAATACATGAACAAGGAAGAAAAAATTCATTAATCCTGGCCCAAAGACTAAACCCTCGACCCTCAAAACAACTTCAATGAATGAAACTGAGAACTGTGAGGATCTAAATGCAAATGTGCATTTGAGTCCACAGTTTGATAAATGTTAGTTGTACCTTTTGTTAACAAAATATTTTATTTGTAGAGCTTTTGTGAGTCACAGAAGTAATCACATGTCCCATTGTTCTGCAATTGTTTGAATGCCATTTTATTAACTTCTAGACCTTCAGAAATGCAAATAAAAAACCCCAATTCTACTGGAAAAAGAATTCAATGAATTTTTAGTGTTGGCTGCTGGTAAGACTTACATTTCGTGGTCTGATGGAAACTCTTTCATGATCCATATTCATTCCTGGTATGATCACACTCATTTTACGAGGTCCTTTAAACCCCAGGACATTTGTTTCCTAAAATGTTTAGAAAAGATTTCATCATGATCTTTATTTTTAAAGTTAATTTTTTCAGCATAGAGACACTGTGGCAGCCCAAGGAACTTATTTGTTAGTCAACTCAAAAAACATCTTGAAACTCCCACCTTCACTGGCACAGATAAACATTCTAGCTTTGTCTTAGAAGCTCCGACAACAGGAAAAATGGAAATAGAGAGGTTTCCAAAAACACTCCTAACACTGGCTGCCAGCAACCTTAATATAAATTTTTTTTTAAAGAATCCCTTTGTTAAGAAAGGATATGAATTAACCAGATTGCTTGGCTACTGCTAGGTCCCAAAATAAAGTAGTTGCAATTTAAAAATCATAAAATGTAGTCACACATTTTGATGCGAGACAAAATTAAATATATGGGATCAGCACCATTTATTCCAGAGCCAGCACAAAAGCAAACAAAATGCTAGTCAGAACATCTGATAGCAGTGCTGTGGTTTTCAAAGTTTGCTTAGAGATGACCACAGTAAAAAAACCAAACACATTACCATGAAAGCAAATTTTCTAGCTATGAAGCCAGGGAAAGTAAAGAAACCACATGGGCAGCAAAAACAAATCCACAGAAAATACAATTTTTTCCATTAAAAGTGATCTGATGCTTTCCTGACCAGCTTTTCACAAGAAAACCAGAAAAGGTAAAGAGCAATATTTTCCAGTAAAACCTGATTTTAGCATTAACCCAGTGAATGAAACAGTGACACCTTGAAGTCCATCTCCTCATGTTTTGTGATCGCTTTTTTTCAGTCATGTATTTTTTCCCTCCATCTGCCAAACTGAAATGAAGGGCTTTGGAGATGCACTAAGGAATCTCAGGAAGAACATTCCCATTGTTCCCAGCAACATACCACAGGATGCCAAGAACCAGACACCCCTAGGCTCCAGCTGCTGTGGCTTTACCGCTGGGACATTTAAAAGTGACACATTCAGCTGTCTCTGATTTTACATTTTTAATTAAAATGTCCTGATTTTACAGAACACTAAAGTTATTAAAACACCTCTACTTCTGCATGCAAAAATCCATGCATCTGAACCCACTGGAAACATCTGAAAATACCCACCTAAAATACCTGCAGCTTTGCCATCATCAGACCTTTGAAATAACTTTACCTGTTCCAGCAAATCATCTGGAGATTTTCCACAACTCATTAAAGATTTTCATGCATGCAAGAGAAATTCTACTGGATTATTTTATTGCATGCTCCTGAAGCAATCCAGGCATATTCATATATCTTCCTAACTCTATGCATTAATGGGAAGATTCTGCCTCTTTTCTGAATCATTTATGTCCCCTCCTTTGGCAGAGTAAAACATGTTATCAGTTCAGTTGGTTCTGCATCATGGCAAGATGAAAACTGATATGACTGCCAGCAGATTTTATAAGTAGGAGAGATTCAGCTCAGCAGAGGACAAGTTCTAAGAAAAGATTCATACTTATGCTTATTTTCCACTAAGTACTGACAATTTTGGGCACCTCTGCTATGCCTTACAAGCTTTTCTTCTCCTCAAGCTGCAGTCATGCTATACATAATTAATTTAGATGCTGACTGGTTGAAGACATTGTTGAAGGTAAAATTAAATAATAGTGCTGAATCACTTCCCTCCCAACAAGCAAGAGGAAAGAAACAGGACTATATTCTTTGGGTTTACTCAGAAACACTGAAATTGGTACCTCTGGCACATGATAAGAGAATGGCTACTAGCTGCACATTACTACCATCACCAATTATCACACACTGTGCTGGCAAATGCTACCCTTTTGCAAAACTCACAGAGCCAAACTGAAATTATATAAACATGGAATATGTGATGAAAATTATTAAAATTACCTCTGCTTCACTCCCTGCTTCTCTTCTATTTCCCTCCTGCATTCTTTTGTGTGTGGAAATTTAAGACTACAAAGGGTATTATTAGGGGAACACAAACCAAATTCTGATTTCACACCATTTTAATGCCACTGACAGTCCTGGTTTACACAGGAACACAAATGTTGTTCACTGGCAGAGCCCCTATTGACACCAATGATTTTGATCAGCTCAGGACTTAGCCCAGGATTGCTCACGCTCTACCTTAGCCCATCCAGTCAGCCTCATAATAAACTGGACTGCAAGAGCCTCTCCCCAGAGCTGCCTTTAGAATATTGCATACTTTCAAATAATTATGTAAGCACTTTGCTTTAGTGGCAATAGCTGCCATGATTAAAGCAGCAAGGTGAATATCCCAGCAGCTCCCAGGAGATTCCTGATTTTATTATTCCTATTTTCTTGCAGCCACTTCCCTTCATGCGCTTGTTGCACACAGCTGTGCCTTGTCCTTAATATTTTCTCTAGAAATTACCATTTCAAGGAAGACCCAGCTCACATAACCCACAACACTGGAGGAACACAATGCAAGTGATTGAGGCCTGAGTAGGAACAGGGTCTTGCTACTGTACTGAAACCTGAGCCACACCTCAGAGCATCAGCTGAGCTCACTGCCTGGAATCTGACACAAACTCAACTGTGAGATCTATGGAATCCAGCACAGAAAATCCTGCTACCAGTGGCACAGTTGCTCCTCACTGCTCCTGGTTAAATTTTGCCAACGATTCTGCAATCAGCCATTAGGTGCTGCTGCAGGTTTATTAATATGCTGGGCTGCCAACACAAGGGGAGTAAAAGTGGTCAACAGCACCCGAGGAAACTCTGACCTTACCTAGCTCTGATCCTGTTGCTTGAAACACATCTTAAGGTGAGCTCCACAAAAAGAGCCCTCACCACATTTATCCCACAGTCAGCCACAGATGCAGCACCAGTTTCTGCCTATATAAATTATACCTGCTGAGATGATTAAGCAGGTCATGCTCAGTAAGTTGGGTACAGCTTGATCTCCACATGGGTACTTGCTCAGATGAGCTGAGGGACAGTGAGAGGTTAGTGGTGCTTTCAAAGTATTGTTTTTATAGATTTTGCTGCAGGGGAAATCTCAGGGCAGGAATTAAAAGACTGCCTTAGGACAAGGGTGTTTCGGCTCTGCTCTTCCTGGCACTCTCTGCTCTGGTTCTCCTGCAGCCAGGAACAATAATCTCACTTCAGCAAACCTGGCTAGTTTGAAATGACATACAGTTCCAATTTCCTTTTGTCCTCTGGCCACAGCACACCTGCAAGCCTGCTGCCTTTCTCCACTACTACCAAAATATCAATGGAACAAGAAATTTTCTTATACAAATGTACCAGTTTCAAACTGCTGATTACAGACATATAAAAGCAGCTTATCTCAGCCCCATTCTCCAAACAGTGACTATGATTTGGTTCTTTCCAACACCCATACTTCTAATTACCTCTGCTGACCACAACAGCTTTTTATTTGGCATTGTTCATCATTCACGTATTGTTTGTTGTTGACTTAAGCAATGCCTAAATTTCTCAACACATAACTTTTTTTAAATTGACTTTGGTTTTCTTTTTGCATTTCCAGTTTGCACAGATTAGTTGCCTGGCTCCAGGGAATGCCATCCTATACAAACCAGTAAAACTACCTTCATTAAACATGTATGTTCTGCTAGGCTTCTACTGAGATTTCAGTCAAAATGGCCTCAGATTCTGGAGTCTCATTTTAAATCCTACAAGCTGAGTTTTTGGAAATTCTCAGAATTTCAAATCCAACAGGAAGGGAGTGATATGTATCTGCTCATCTGCCACATTAAAACTGCATCCTAAGCAGCAGGAAGAGAACGTGCTGGCAGCTAATACTGCCCTCCTTCAGAACTCCCAGCACTTTGCACAAAAGGGATGGCTCTCAGCTTCCTTGCTCATGGAAATCTTCCAGATGCATTGCTCCCCACAGCCCAACGCTCACCCTTCTGGGAACACATTCTGTGCATACATGGGGTATGTGGTGGACCTCAGCCTTACAGATTTCCAGGCATCCTTGATTAGATCTGGGCAGGAACTCTTCAGAAAAGTAATTCTTGGGTATTTTTATCGAAGGTGTTGATTTGTGAAACCAGACAACTTCCTGTAGCAGTGTACATACCAGTTTTCACTGGAAGGGTTTCTTGGGCCCAAACATTTCTGGACAGAAAGAACACTGTCACCAAAAAGGTTATTCATCCAGCAATCGTGAAACAACAGCAACCGTGTTTCAAGTCTTGATTGTCTGCATTGCTCCTGACAAATGCTACTTACTCTCCTGTAAGAGCCTGGTTTCTCTCATTCAATCAAATTTTGGATTTTACTTGGGTTTTTTTTCCTGGTAAAAAGGAGTTTTAGAGGTTTTATCTCAATCTCAGCCACTGAAGACCTAGCTGTCAGCTACCAATGGTTTGGATCAGAGAGGCCTCCTCCAAAACACCATAACAAACAATCATATTTTAGAGCAGTAATGCCATGTACACAACTCTTCCCAGTTCAGGAGGTTCCCTCAGGAGGTGCCTGCAGGCTGTGATCCTACCCTTTCCAGAGGGTTATGTAAGAGCTCCAACACCTCCTTCTCACCAAAGGTGAGAACTGGGCAACCCTGTTCAATGCACAACGTTTTTCACCTCTACTTTGCACTGAGCCTCCTGGTTTCTCTGGTGGAGATCAGCTGCCTGGTTACATCAAAGTCTGAATGCTGATTTACATAATCATAAGTGAGAAGGAAATTCAGTGTGCTGTTTGAGAAAGTGAGCTGCCCTTCCTGCACGCTGTGCCTGTGAGCAGTACTTACATAACAAATAGCAGCTAGCTCCTGACGCAGGGTACTCGCCTCCAGGCTGGATGTTGTTTTCATTGGATTTACTCCATTGTCATAAACTGTAAACTTAGTTCCCATAAGATTTGATCTACCAAAAAAATGGAAAATCCAATCACCATTTGTCAGCAATGCTGCCCGAGACATCTATCCTTTCCTGCACTGTGGCCCCAGAGGAAAGGCAAATATTGAGCACTGAGAGTTGTTATTTCTAATCCCAGCTACATGGCAATTCCCAGATTAAGGGCCAAAAGGACAAAAATGTAAAGGTACAGTACAGAAGTGTATACTAAAGGTCCCTTTTCATCATGCTGGAGATTTCTGATAACATCTTGCAAACTAGGAAATACAAGAAAGCTGTAAGGAAACACTCGGGTGGGGTTATTTTGTGTGTCTGATTGGTTTTTAAAATACTCTTACTCGCTATAAAAACATCTGCTTTCTTACCTGACTACTAAACTCTGTTAGAATAAAGGGAGTGACTTTTATAAAGCCATTAGTGAGATCAAATCTTTCCTATTGCAATGGAAAGGAGTGCAAAATACAATGCAGGCACAGATGATCTGAACACACACCCAGAGGCTCCACGGAGGGATCAAGAGCAGACTGGTTGTACAACGTGGGGACAGACAGAAAAGGAACACGTGGTTCTGAAATAATTCCACTACCTGTAAATAACTAATTTGGATCTTGAGAAAAGGCAAAACCAAAGGGATTTTCAGACTGTGTAACGGTGCATTCCAAAGTATTTATATCAATAGAGGCTAGACACAATGTACTCATGCACTTCTGAAAATCCCATTAAGATAAGTTGTGCTCTTACACCCTTGAGAATTTGGCTTTTGAGCACTTAAGAGCTTCAGTCCTGCTGACTTTTAATAAAATGTGATCCTGTAAGTACTTGAGACATTTTTGAAAACATGCCTTGGATACTGGTGATTTTTAAGACCATGATCACATGATGTAGTCAAGCCTCTAACTAAGAAGACACAGTGGATTACAGACTTCTTAATATCAAATAAACTTTATATATAAAGAAAATTTCTAGACTTATCACTGTTTACCTCAGTTTTCCAATAAAACTCTCTCCACCCCGAGACAGGTCAGTTGGGTCTATAGAGATGAGGTAATTAGAGGTTTTACTCTTCTTTCGTTTCCTTCCAGCCAACAGAAACACCTAAGCAATGCAAAAAACCATATTCTAGAATGCTAAAGGGATTAGCACACACCACTTCCTGCTTTGATATAAGCAAACCATAAGCAATTTTTCTGTCTTCAAGCATCACTAGCAAAGTAGCAGAAAATCTCCTGGGATTTAGCAAAACCAGGGAAAAAAAAAGTCTGGTAAGGGAAAATGACTTCTCAACCACTCATTCCATTATTTATGGTTTAAATAATTAAATCTGATCTATTTTGTTAAATGTTTCATTCTGACTTGCTCTGGCTCTTCCAGCTGAATTGAAAGTAGATGCTTTTCAGGCCACAGAATGCAGAGAGCCCCAACTGCTGGCAGTCACATAAAGGTGCCATGCATGGATTATTTAAGGCCAAAGATTAAATATGAAGAAAGGCAGTGGGAGAAAGTGATACTGTTGTTTGGCTTCGTGAAGAAGGTAGGGTCAATCTAGTGAAATCAAAAATGTATTCAAAATATAACGCTACATTTTCTTTGTAAGACTCCTTCATATTTTTATTATTTTTTTTTTTTAATATTCAGATGCAACTGGTATGCCATTCAAGTTATGTTATGACCTTTTTACCATGCTCCCTTTCCAAGTGGAGGTAATAAGTAGGGTACATCCCTCGGTCCATTCCCTTCTTGTCTCTTGTGATCCTGCACTTGACAGTGACCCCCTGTGGGGCAGGTCTGACAGCAAACTCCTCCAGGTCATCCACATCTATGAGAGGCTCATTTGTGGAAGGACTGGGGGCTGAGGCTGCTTCCTAAAACAACAAGCAAAATTCAGGGCTTTTTAATGTCCATTTACAACAAGATTATAAGCATAAAGGAACGACATTTGATAGAAGTTGCACTTTTTAAAAGTCAAACCAAGAGTCATATTGTCTTGCTGGTGCTCTGTGTGCAGACCCACCTGGTGGAGCACAGAGTGCTGTACAGGGCTTACAGAGCAAACCCTGGCTCACACCTTCCCATCCCACCACACTCCTTCTGTCAGAAATGCCATGCTCAAGGATAGGGATGCCCTTTAACAGAAGGAAGAAATGGGATAGGGAGCAAGAGTTTAAGCTCCAGAGAGATCTAACAAAGATGGGAAGTCAGTGCAGTACATAAAAGAGCAGGGCATCATCAACTGGTTTAGTAAGAGCTTGTGATTTCGAATATTTGAACCAGCCAAAATCTTATTTTATGTTCAGATGGTAGCAGAGAGAACAGGGTTGGAAAATGCCCAGAAAAAGTCAATGGAAACAAAAGATCCTTCTGAGCACCTGCAAGAGGTAGAAAGGTAAATATTTACTGTTTCCCTTTCTCTTCATTCAAGTTCAGACAATATTTGCCATTCTTTTCTCCAAGTCATTATTTTCATGGCTTGCTCTTGCGAAGCCTGAGAGGTATCACAGTAAATCACCTTGGAGAGACTCTAGTGCATATTAAACACAGAACAAGAAAGCCAGGCCTGTCCTGAGTGCACCCTGAAATCATGCAGTTCATAGCAACTTGCACAGCCCTTCTTCAGCACTCTCCCCTTACCTTATTGGATTTCTTGCTCGTGGCAGAACCAGGCCGGGTGTTACTGTTTAGCTGTGAAGAACTGGAGCTGTCTTCATCCTCCTCATCTTCTTCCTCATCAAAATTCATGCTACTTGAAATGCCTGAGAAGAAAACAGCATACTTATGTGAAATAGTGATAAAGTTGCCCATACTTGCTGTAAAACACCACTTATCAGACTGCTGCACCCTGAGGCTCACAGGTGAGTGTGAGAGTGGTTCATTGTGTGAGGAAGAGCATGAACACATGGGTTAGACAGCAGCTCTCCTGAGAAGCCTAAACATTCAAGTAAAAAGACAGAAAACATCATGGTTTCCATTCCACAGAGAGGATCAAGTTACCCAGTGATACAGGAAAAAATATCTGGTTAAGATCTAAATTCAGATCATCATCCAATCAAGTACTTCAAACACAACACAAAATCATAAAGCTGAAATTGGAGCTGACAGCCTAGCACAGCCACTTGGAAACCCTCACAATTAAAATACAAGCCCTTCTACAGCACACTTTTAGCTGTGTGATCTGCTGAAGAGCACATCTTAGACCGACAAGAAACATTCACATCAAGGAAACGTTCTCCTGCATCTTATTTCATGTAAAGAATAGTATCAGCCCAAGCCAAAGGAACTGCCTCACAGCACTTGAAAATTTGACTTTACAGCAATTCAAAACCTCAGACATTTCAAAGGGAAGCACAACTTTGAACATCAAATAGGTCTTAGCAGCAAAAGCATCAATGGTGGGATGTTTGCCAGGCCTAGTTTTTCAGAGAGTATCGTGCAGATGAAGCCACCCCATATTCAAGTTCAAGCTCTCTAAATTCCATACATTACAGGCTATATTCTATCCTTTAAAAAACACCAAAAAAACATCACCTGGTCCAGAACTCCCATTATGGGTAAGTCCAGTGTAGAAGGATAAATGAAATGCAGATTTTCAGAGCCAAGCAGCATGGACATAATTAACTTTTTCCTTCTGTACTCACCAGGAACATGATCCAGGGCGACAAGACTGGATTGGGAGGTGGAAGAGGACCAGGATGTATTTGCATGGGGATCTGGGAAAGGAAAAAATCCAAGGGTTTGATTCTGCAAACCCTTCATTGAATGAACAAGCGTAACCTAGCAAGAGGGCTCCACACAGGGCTAAAGGCTTCTGGGATGGGGCCACAATGCTGCTGCTTGGATTCACTATTTCTGCACTGCACCATCAAATTCACCTTCTACCTGCTTATACTGCTGGGATCTTCACTTTCAGTACCTTGAATAAAGTGAAAAAGCCCAGGATCACAGAGCTAAAGCTTCAGCAAACATCATTAATGCTGAGCAGTTGTGCCACCAACGCTTCTGTGTGTGATGTGCACTGCATGGTGGGGTCTGGGCCTGCTTTGGAACTCTAACAAAATAAAAACCCTCAAACCTGACTGACATAAGTGATACACACAGATTCTACACAATATTGAGTCAGTAACATTGAAAGAAATATTCAGATGCATATTCAGATGTCCTAAATTCTACTTCAGTCCCTGTGCCTACTGCGTCCTCATCATCAAAAGATTAAATCAGGCTCTCTGAACTGTTTTTCTGGGAGCTCCAGGGATATGCATAAAGATTTTATTGTAGTTTAGTCTTCTAAAATATTAACTCGGTCTGTAACAAGCAGACAGGAAACCAAACTGATGTACAGAAATATAAACAGCAGATATAGACTCAGTAATGGCTTTCTTCCATTCAAATTTTGGATCAGATTAAGAAAAAGACAGCAAAAAAGGCATTGAAATACTTTCTGCTTTTATTGTTACTTCCAGTAACTTCAGTCATGTCCCTTTAGAATATCCAGATGCACACTGGAGAGTGAAACACCACCAGAGTGGTAAGAATGAGGGCACAAAAGTAAACCAGGAGCATAAGCAATGCTTGCATTGCACTCAGCTGCCCTGTGAAAGCTCTCATTATTCACTTCTTCAGCTCCCCCAGTGCTGACATACACCACAGAGCATGACAGCAAAACCTTTCAATTGGACCTGGTTATGTAAGGGAGGCCTGAGTTCAGAGGTCAACAGATATTTTCAAAGCCTGCAGAATTCATTCATTATTAATCACACACTCATTAATCACAAGCATTATTTCTTAATAAGGACAATCATGTTCTAGGCTCTATGCATGGGTAATGGACACAGTCCATCTCCTCAGCTGGCAGCTGCACAATAAAGCCATAATTCATATCCACAGACAGAACTGGTTTATTTCCACACCTGTGCTCACTATTTCACCACCAATGCTTTAGTGGTGAAAATTCTGTTCCAGCCTTAGAAACATCTGCACTCACAACCTGCAGGGAAAAATGCTTCAGGGAGCTCCTGTTTTGGAATCCAGAAATGAAACTGATCCCCACCCTAAATCTCAAAACTTCAGGTGCCAAAGAAGAACTAAGACCCAATTGCTCATTCCGTGCCCTTTACACAGACATATTGGAAACTGGTAAGTGTGAGGACTACAAGTTAGTAATTAGTGTTAAAACTTATGGAAGTCTGACTCTGTCCCAGTGACTCATTTGCCAGGGAGGAACTCTACAGATTAACACTTTGGAAATTAAAAGGATGAATATTTCCTACAGGAGGAAAATTATTGTAGGATGGCAATTTCCAACAGATGGAGAAATCAAGTAAAACATTTGGCATTTTCTTACAAGTGACATATTCTTTTCACACTCGGTAGCCTATAACCTCTTGTCTTGTTACAGAGCTTGACTCATTGGGGAAGGAGAGACACATGCTAAGAGAAGTTTCTCTCCACCAGGTTAGTGCCAAAGAGCAGAGCAGGCACCAACTAGGGCTATGCAAATCCAATGGGATTCAGCTTTTGCCATGAGACCAGTTAGCATTTTATAGAATCACAGAATAAGCTGAGTTGGAAGAGGATCTTCAGGATCATGGAGTCCAACTCCTGGCCATGCACAGGACACCCCAAGAGTCAGCCATGTGTCCCAGAGAACTATCCAAATGCTTCTGGAACTCTGTTGGCTTGGTGCTGTGACCACTGCCCTGAGGAATCTGTTCCAGTTCCCAACCACCCTCTGGGTGAAGAGCCTTTTCCTAATATCAACCTGAACCTCCCCTGACACATTGCCTCGGGTCCTGTCACTGTCACCACAGAGAAGAGATCAGTGCCTGCCCCTCCTCTTCCCCTCATGAGGATGTGGAAGACCACAATTGGGTCTCTCCTCAGTGTCCTCTTCTCCCGGCTGAACAGACCACGTGCCCTCAGCCGCTCCTCATACAGTTTCCCCTCCAGACATTGCCCATCCTCATGGCCTCCTTTGGACACTCTCTAACAGTTCAGTGTTTTTTCTATACTGTGGCACCCAAAACTGCCCCCAGCACTCAAGGTGAGGCTGCCCCAGCTCAGAGCAGAGCAGGACAATCCCCTCCCTTGCCCGGCTGCGATGCTGTGCCTGATGCCCCCCAGGACAGGGTTGTCCCTCCTGGCTGCCAGGGCACTGCTGGCTCCTGTTCAACTTGTCATGGACAAGGGCTCCCAGGTCCCTTTCTGCAGTGCCTCATCTTTGTGCACTTCTCCTTCTGCTCCTATTCCATGCAAGTGAAGCCCTGATGAGAGACAGCAGCTCTAAACACTTTTCAGGTGACATGCCAGTAAGGACATGCCACCAGCAGTGAAATGGCAGTGGAAATCCACATGAAGGGCTTCATCTCTGCATAAAGTATCACATTAATGGTGGAATACTCAAAACTTTCTCAAAACAAGCATCTTCTGCTGGTATCAAGCAGCAAACCATACACATATAGCAAAATCAATTTAAAGAGATACTGCTGGTATTATTTTAATACCTCTCTTTGTGTCTCATCCAGCATAGCTCTGCTGTTAACAAAAAAAAAAAACAAAAAACAAACAAAAAAAAAAACCTCAGTATTCCCATTTAAATAAAAGTGTCCTGCTCGCCTCAACTTGAAACACACTAGTGGTTCACTATTAGCAGTGTCTGTTCTGAGCAGGAGTATACTCAGACCTGGTAAAAAAGATTGTATCATATGTTTGAGAATATACAGAAGCAATGCAAACCAAAAAATTTCCACTCTCTGCTTCTATTAAAAATAAACACAAATTTAGGGAGAAGAAAAATATATGATATCCTGGCAAAAAACCAGCAAAACCAGAAGTGTCCCCCAGAGTAAAAATCTGAGTGCTGTGACCTAATTTTCAAAGTCTGTGGGTACTTTTTAAGTCAATCAGCTTTAGTTTAGTAGTGTGCCTGATGATTAAATATTCTGAGCCATGGTCTAAGGCAACACAATCACCACACAGATCAGAACTTGTTAGTCATGCCCAACACCCCTGCAACTCAAATGCCCAGGAAATAGCGCACTTGGAGAAAATCTGCCCATTTCAGTTGGAGCTGCTCACATCTGCAGGGTAACGTCCCAGAAAAAATGAATCCTAGTGAGAACTGCTCTGCAGACAAGAGGCAGCATTTAGGTATGAATAGTCCATTCTACACGAGTCAAGTTTGCACTTACATTTTGCTCTTTATACACAAAGAGTTTATTCTTAAAGCATCAGAGCACTCTTGGCTTGAGCCATCTTTGCTTCAATAGCTGTACACTGAAGAAGAACAACTCCAAAGCAAATGTCTTCAGAAAATGCTTTGTGAGGGTTTGGGGATTTTTATTTTTTCCTTCCTATGGTTTGTGTCTAAGGGAAGATAACAGTGCAGGAAGGAAGAGGCAGATGCATGAATGTGTACATATACAATCTATCTCCCAATGCATGCATGCCTCTGGAAAAAGAAAAATAAATTCCAGAACATTTGAGGACTGCGTGGGAAATGCTGCAGAATGTGGTGTACTTTTCACCTCTGCAACCCTGAACAGACACTACGAAAACATGAACGTGTAACTGACTGCACCACTAAAATGAATATTCTAGTTTGAATGTTGCTATTTCATGCTTGTTTTTAACCATCAAGTAAGTGATTTCCAGAGTTGTACATTATAAAAATGTGAACAGATGGATGTGAGCATTGGCATCTGCCTGGTACCTTAATAACGGCACTGCACTGCAGATGGGGAAGTCATCCCTGAGAGCCTGCAGAGCTCTTGTTCCTTGGGACAAGAGAGAACTTCATTGTTTTGGATTTGTTTTTTAGGTTTGGGGTTTTGGATTTTTTTAGGAAACAGAACAGAGCCTAACAGGCTCTGAAGAGAACACACCCAGAACTAACAAACTGTGCTTAGGCTAGGGCTGACAGTGAGAATAGGAAATTGAGTCAACGTCCATCAAGCAAGCAGTGAGAACATGAAGGAAGCTTTAGCTACTTACCTTTCTTCTGCATTGCTGTTCTAAGATCTTGCTTGCTTTGCTGTTGTTGGCCAGTAGCCACTTTCTCGCCATCATCTTCATCATGGCTAGACTGTCCAACAGTGAGAATCTGCACTTGACTTCCTATCTTCTGAACATCATCTTGAAAAGCAGCTGGGCCATCAATCCCTGTGAGACAGCAGCAAAAGCCTTAGTTGTCTTTGTGTCAAGAAATTACTGAAAGGAGAACTGCTCACTCAAAAAAACCAGCAGCTTTTCTAGGAGTCACAGATTGGATGTTCACTTTCAATAATATTTCTAGCATTAAACAAGACTAAGCTAGCCTCCAAGGCAAACATTTTACTTCCCACATACTGCACTGGAGAACCTCCAGGAGAGGATCAAGATTTCACTGGTGCCCTCCTCACCCCAAAGCACAGCTACCCCATGCACCAGAAACTAAGCAGAAAAGAAACACACTAGAGAAAACTGACAAAGAAAACAGATAAAATTTTAGTAAGGGCACAAGGTGATCCAGAAACAGATGAACCCAAGTCCCGGGGTATGCCACATCCCCATATAAACACCACTGTTATCAAAATACTTTAAAGCTTCAAAAACCTGGAAAATTTACAAGTAGATTTGGCAGTGTATCCAACAGAGGGGCAGCATGTTAACAAGCCTAAATACACCTTTCAAGTTAGGAAAATTGCCATACAGTTAATACATCAGAGCAAAACTATAAGGAAGATATGACATATTCCCTGGAACCTCTATCCTCTTGAGATGCTTAAATCCCAACTAGGCACCAGGTCCTGAACAACCTGCTGTGAGCAGACACACCTCCCAGCCTCAGCCATGCTGTGATCCTGTGGCTCCTGACCACAGCCAGAAAGAAACTATTTACCTCCTTATGGCTGTAAATCACCTCCACAGAGAGAAAAAGAAAGTAAGAGGTGGGGGGGTGCTCTTACTACAAGCCAACTTCATTTTGTTTTTTCAGGACAGCAAGGTAAAACCTCAGACTGCAAATGTGCTTCCAGCTCTTAGTGAAGACACAGAGCTGGAATATGTTACTAAATCAGCTATATAAAAATGCAGTTCTGTATCTATAAAAATGGTAATATTTTCATGTACAGATATAATAAATAGCATGAGCTGCATACTGCTGCTGTTGTGAAATTTTTGTTAATAAACAAGCAACACTGTGGAGAGCTAGCAAGCACTACAAAAAGCTAATTCAGTAAAGGAATATGGTGCTTCTCACACCAAACAGAGCTGAATAAACCGTGAGAAGGAGCTGCAGGGATTGGGATTTTTTTTGGAGTGTGATCTGTGATTTGTAGCAGAAGTCACTAAGAATACCATTTCATCCTGCTTTGCCAGCAGCTGTCAACTTGCATTAAAAGACAGCTGGATTATACATTTAGCATGCTTAACTGTACTTTGCAATATCTGCTGTCACTGCCACTGCAATAAAAAGCATAAGTGGAAAGAAGAGTGGTTCATATCCCCAGGAACAGCACTGGCTGTGCAGCCACCCAACGAGATGCAGTCTGACACTGCAGAGGTGTTAAACCCACAGAGTTCAAGACCACAAGGAGTTATTGCTTCATCTGCATTACACAGACCATGGCAATTTCTGCACCAAGCCTGCAAATTCTGATTCACTTGCAGCAAAGCTAACAACAACGACTAACAGCAAATAAATAATCTGTCCATCCAACCTTGAAGGGGCAGATAAAGTCCATGGAAATGTCTCTGTGACCTTGCTAGGATGACAATTTCAGAAGTAGCTCTGCATGATACAGAATGAACAGTATCATCTTGTGTGCTGCAGGTATAATACGGCAGTGAAAGAACTGCATTTTTCTTTAAATTTATCCTAGGAGAAGCACCACTGCAAAGGTGCTCTAGAACAGACAGGTAGCTGCTCAGATCCTCTGTGGTATTTTTAACAGCTTTACAGTGTTAACCATTATCATTAAAGTTGCTGCCTAAAGATAGGTTCTTACCTTAATACTCTGAATTTCAAAAGTGTTAAGCATTCACGAGTTTACAAGATGCCTCATGCATATCATACCTAGCCCCTTATTAAGCACTGGATAATACAAACCTAATTTTGAGAGCGCTTTTGAGAAGGAACAAAACACCTTAATTTATACCTCTTCAAAGCAGACATTGATCTGCAGCAAATGAAATGCCTTCAACAGCATTGGAGATTGCACTGAGGCTGCTTTTTCCCAATGCCTGCAGAACATCTGCACTCACATCCCATGCTGTCAGGAACATCGTGTATTATTAGGAGTCAGGACAAAGGCTACACTAGCAGGGCACAGTTTTAGAGAAGAAAAATCAATTTCAGTGCTCTGAAGAGTGCATCACTGGTAGACTGTGTTATTAAGCATTAGGAATGGTTCCACTGGTGAGCACATTTAAAGGAATGAAATATGTAGCAAGACAGAGAGGATTAAAAAAAAGGAGAGAAAAAAAAACTTCTGCTGCATTAGAGCACTATAGGTGGCAAATGCAGCATTAAATACATTAACTACTTAATACTTGTCTGTGTGCATAATCTGTGTAGCTACACATGCATGTATTAAATGCAGGCATACATACACATTTTTCTACATCATGAGGTATAAGTGCATCTTTGTAAGCCATAGTTCAAAAGGCAGCTTTGCCACCACCTACAAATGTCTGAAAACATCTGAAAATACTTCCAAGCTTGTATAACCATGATATTCAAGGTGGATCTCTCTCCCTCTTTGCCTGACTCCTTTTCATCCACTCCCTAGGAGATTGGTTCTCTGTGTAATAAAACAAACTATTTAACACTCATCTATAATTTCTGTGCTTAAGGACATAGCCAAAAGAGGCAAAGAAGCTGAGTGGGTTGTGCCAAAAGAGGTTTTATTGCTATGGTCAGCATTTTTTTACAGTGCTTCCCAAAAAATCAGGTAAAGTCTGACAGAGATGGCCTTGAATACATGCTAAGAAAAAAGGGGAATTTTTGAGAGACAAATGTGAAGGAGGGCAGAGAGGAAAGAAGATTGGAACTACCCTCAGAATACCAGTTCCTTCAGAAAAGGCCTTTTGGTGCACTTTGGCAAGATCATGTCTCAGATGAAAACCAGAGGTGCCAGAAACAAAAACATTTCCAGACCAGACCTGGAGAGATGACCAAGGTCAGGCAGGAGGCCTCTGGAAGAGAACACACATTTCCTGAGCTCAGTTACTGCTCTGACAAAGGAGTCACATCCACGTGGATTACACCCAAGGCTGTGGGTGCAAATGCTATTCAAGACCTCTGCAGAGCAGCTCTCCCTCCAGCTGAGGGATGGCAGCACAGCCCTTCAAAGGATGGCCTGCTCTGAGGTCAAGCACAGGGAATCCCAGGGAGATCTGACACCAGAACAAATAGTTTCCATCCTTTAGAGAACCTGGCTTAAAGCAAACCCTGCTGTCAATATTTCCTAAGCCACTTCCTATTATATTCCTGTTCTCATAGGGGCTGTGCATCCACTGATAGGGGTTCAAGCAACTGCAAAATTACAAAGGGATTTGCTGAGAGGGAAAGGAAGCAAATAGAAAATTTTTTTGAAAGGATGTCTAGAGGTGATTTAGTCCAAACCTCCACTGGACTATTGCTAGCACCAGATCAGGACACTAAAAGCAAGTACTTGGGCACTAAGCTCTATACTCACTTTGATGAAATCTAAAACCATTAAGAGGAACTGTACATTCATAAGTCTTTATCCTTAGGAGGTCAAAATTACTTCTTCATAATTAAGTTCATGTATTGCCAACCACAGCCTGAAAGGTTTGTCAAATCTAGAAATAAAAGGAATTTTCTTGGTGGAAAATTCCACCAAATTTTCTTATTGTTCCTCCTACCCTTTTTATTTAGTGCTCAGGGAAGCTGAGATAAATCTACTTTACATGAACTTCCCTCCCCCCATCAGAAAGGAAGTGCTACAGTGAGAAATGATGCTCCTTACCCAAGAACTGCTGCTGCTTTCTGAGCCAGCCAGTGTTAATGTAGCTGCTTGTTACATAGGAAAAGGGGACAGGATGCACAAATCAAAACACTCAGACAGGCGTGAAAGAGAGAGAAGAAACATGGAAGAAGCCAACCAAATCAAAACACGGAATAGCCACCCTGGCAGGAAAAGCTCTGTGTGTCAGAGCTGCTCCTCGGCTTCCTGGCTCCCAGAAAGTCAGCAGGAAATACACAATGTACCACTCACATTTAAGGTACAATTTCTGTGAAATTATTGTTTACTTTGATATTTTAAACACATCCAGGTTCTGATTTCACTGATGAGAAAGAAATCTTCATTTATATTGTCCATGGCAGTTTGGAGCAGAATCTCCTAGAATTTTCCTAGAATGTATTTACATAGTCTAAGTAAAAGAGTTTTGGGAAGAAAAACCAAACCCAACCAACCACCAATAACTTTTCACAGAATGATTCCTGAATTTTCATATCAGATTTCATTTTGTATTAACTCCTGGCTTCTCATGCTTTTCTGGGTTTTTTTAAAGTTCCATTTTTTTTTCATTATTTGCCCCATTCACTATACACAGCCAAAAAATTCACTTTATCTGTATATTTATTAACTTCTTTGTAAACTTTTCCAAACAAAGTAACAACACCACTATGTACCTATAATACTTTCATGAATCTCCTTTATTAAAGACTCATCAAGATCTTTGATAGCTAAACACACACTGGTTTTGTAATATTACGTAGGGTGCATACTTTTCATAGGTTCCTGCTGCAAATATTTTCACTAATTTGCATGATTTTTCTGTTGAACCACCCAGTACACCGGGTTCACTGTTATCTTGAATCACCCCAATGTGCCACAAATCAAACCAGAATTTGATCCACCATCTCCATTTGAAAGACAACCATTTTACATATGCATTTGTTACATCTGGGTTTTGTTTTTTTTCAATACTGAATATTTGGCCAAGCAATAAACTGTGAGACTGAAGCTTTCAGAAATACCAGTTTAATGAGCTAAGCTACTACAAAATGTCATCAATTTACTGCAGTTCCAGGCTCTGTCCCACAAAAATTATGGTTCTTTTTAAAAATAGGCACTGTGCACACTGCATACTGCCATTAAGAAATACCAGTAATAATCACAGATTTAGAAAAAATTGCTGAATACCGTGTT